TTGTCGTTGGTTTAACCGAATTAGCGTTTGCCGATGAAGTGCCAGAACATGGTTGGAAAGGGTATGAAGTTTTACGCAATTATGGCCAAATTCCATCAGCTTGATCCACAAGCGTTCATCAGTCACACAAGTGGTGCCAGAGAATAATTCCACCACCCCCTCTCCATTCACCTCCCTTATGGATAAGGAAGGGGAGGAACCGGCCTGAAAGACGTGAAACAGGGAATATATTGTAAAGTGATTTGAGTTGAAAGAACTTTCAACTGCAGTAATCTAATCTGCATTAAAATTAAAAGTTATCATAACCTTGCAAGACTGACGGACGGATTGCGAAAGTTGCTTTGGAGCACTTTCGAAGATGATATGTTCCGCTATGTCAACCAGCTGCTATGCTGATGAGACGGTTCATTCACTTCGTGGTATGGGCTGCCTGGTGAATCACATAGGATTTATAGTGGATGATATTTATCTACTATAAAGCTGATGAGAATTCGTTTGGTTTTTACAAAAACCAATTGACACTATAGGCATTATAATTTGTAAATGAGTCGGCTTGGAAAATCTGGGCGAGCAGAATTTTTCTCACATTTTCTGCTTCCCTTGCAATTGACGACGTTGCAGTATGGCTACGGTAAGGAAACAGTGAAGGAATGAAGTGGAAAAAATGAGGATGTGATAATAAGGTTCACCGTGGCCCACCATTCTGCAAGAACGCTGGGAAGACAGATGCATTTGTCAACGTAGAAAATTAGGACGCAGGTCAGTGGAGTATGCCAGAAAAGAAGATCTGCCAAATTTGTTGCACAGTGACACTAGGGTCTTCAAGTGTTCTATAGGAAGGTTTTCAAGAACCGGGCACAGATTGGTGGAAACTGTGGAAGACATCAAAAATAATTTTTCGCATGAAGAAAGGCAACTCTGAGGATTTCAAGAACTAAGGACCAATTACACTCCTTTCGCAAGCCTGCAGTCTTCACCCGCATTATTTTCAACCGTATTCGGAAGGATCGTCAGGGGATCTGAAGTCGGTAACAGGGCTCTTTTTAAATATGGTTTTCTACCATCGATCATGTACAAGTCATTTAACAGCTGATGCAGAGGGTCAGTGAATATCAAGTACACCTCTGTTTCGCTTTCATCGATTGCAGGAAGGCGTTCGATTCGAGGGAGTTGACGGCTGTACGAAACGCCTTGCTTGAACATGTCATAAACATTCGTTGCATCAGCCTGACTGAGGAATTGAACACAGATTTCACGATGGACATCAAGCTCCTCCGCGATCAGCCGAGGAGTCTG